GGGAGGGGGTTCAGCCGGGGGACGGTCACTACGTGCGTCCGAGGACGCGCGCGGCAACTTGCGCGGCGGAGTTCGTGATGATTCGAACGACTTTGGCGCCTGTTATTGGTGCACAGACTTGAAGAAGAGAGTTTAGTAGAGTCAGATGATCCTACTTATCTACTCTCCTTCAAATTTGGCCCCCAATGATAGGCCCCACGTTCAAATCGATACGAACTTCGCCGCGCAATTTGCCGCGCGCATCCTCGGACGCACGTAGTGACACATACCCGGGTTCAGCCGGGAGACGTGCGATTTACCGTGACCCCATTAGAGCTCTTCGCGCACGCAGCATCATTTCAGTACCTTTGTGTTGAGATGAACCAAATAAGTTCGCGGTAGTCCACGGCTTCACCATGAATAGAGCAAATCTCTTTACTATGGCAAAAAAGCCCCTTCGAGATTGAGAATTCACCTCACAGGTCAACAATTTACTTGTCAAACGTTCAAAATAAGAATACTTTCAAATTTTTCGATTTTTGTAAACGCAATCCTTCTGTAAACGTGCATAGTTGGTCATTTCTTTACTTACATAACTTCTTATTTCTTCCGTTATGATGGTAGGCATGATGTTTTAGCGCTTTTTGTCCGATGACCTCATTATATTGACGCGTGAATCGCACCACGCCCGGGTTCAGCCCTATCTGCCTATAATGGTATTTACTAACGGTTTCAGCTAGAGGGAGACATAATTTTCCAACTAGGCATTAGAAGGAGAGGAGCACTGAAGTGGGTGAGCTGACCATCTCGTGCAAAAGCTGAGAGGTGTGGGAGGACTCGAATATTCAGTAGACCACTGATTCATTCCTTTTCAGAAGTCTAAACGGTAGCGTGTTAGCATACTATCCCCATTTAGAGAGCATCATAACGGGATCGCAAGACGGTCGCTCTTTTTCTGTGCTCCAGCGATCAGTGCCAAGGAAGAGAGGTGCCCACTCTGGCGGAATCTCGCTCATCTATGATATATGAGGAACATTTTAATCGATACCAAATATTAATTATGGTGAGGGCCACAGGGGCCCACAAGCACACAATGAGAAAGCAGGTAATTCCTTTTCGCCCTTGTTAAAAACATTGCACAGAGGAGAATAGCGTTGTTTGAAGAAAAAAAAACCAACTTCATGAAGTCCCAGTCCCATCGAAGCTGCTGAATGTCAAGTAGATTCGGTATCATACGTCCACACCATCCCAATCTGGTGCACCCCACAAGCTGTTTATCGATTCTTACCGTGGTTGGCTCTTCGTCGATTTTGCTTTTGTTAATTTACTATACACTTGCCATTCAATTAACAAAATGGAAGTCACTGGCGAACGAGTTACACACGGTAAGAATCGATGACATCCAATCGATGAACTGCCTGCACCNGGGTTAGGTCGAAAGTCCAAAGTTCACTTCTCTTAAGTGAGCCAAAATGGAGCCCAATCGCAAGTGAACAGGTCAAAGAAAAATCATGTCAGTAGAATGGAGGAGTATTCAAGCGACTAAATCCAGCCCACATGAAACAAGGGTGGGAATAACCGGGTGAGAGATGAATACGTATTTGTGGAATGACAGTAAGCCTCATGAAGACATATACACACAAGCCCAAGGAATGAACGAATGTGTGAATAAGGACTGGATGCAGGTGATTACTTTCGATATAGTAAAAATTTAAGCATCGTTTCCCAGTCAAAATGGAAACTTTCAGTGTTTCCCAGATGAGAAAACTCATACACATGTACATGCACTTACAGCCATGCTTAATTTGTGACTATCTGAGGAAGAACATAGAGCAGCAAAAAAGGGAAAGAAATGAAAAACAACTCGAAAGGAAAGATTTTCCTTTACGACTTCCCTTTTGTACAACAAATGTTTGATTTTTAATGGCAGCTAGGTGCCCATCACTGGCCCAGGTTTTGGCCCTATAGGGCTCAAGCAATTGGAGGAGTGATAAAGAGAACTTCAATAGAAGATTGCCATGAAAAATCCCCAGGAAAGGGCTAATTAAAGACTCTTCATCGAGTGTAATGAAAAGTAAGGAAAACGATCATCAAGGTAGCGAGGACTTACATTCATCTCATGTACAGAGAACCGAAAACAAGAAAAACGAAGGGAACATTGAGTCACTCAGTTGCATCGCAACTTTGCGAGGATCGAAAAGAACCCAAACACACATCCATAAAAAATTAAATAAAAAATACCCAAAAATCCGGGAGGTAGCAAAAAAAATTCAAATGGATGCGGCGAGGCGATTCCACCGGTGGACTTCGCGCCGTTCAAAATGGCATTGGAGCGCGGTAGTTCACATTCACTATTAAAGCTATTACGAAAGTTCTTGAGGGAATCCTTCGGTTACTTTGTGTTACCGCGAATGTATGCAGTGGAGGCGACTTCTCCCATTCCTCATGCGCATATTGTTCGATGCTGGTGTTTCAAAAAAGTTTGCCCTCGTTGTTATCAGCTACCTTTTCTGGCCCTTCTTATCACCGTACGAACTTCCATCATTTCGGCATTGTTGGCAAAAACGCTGACAACCATTGCCACCACCAGCTATGTGGCCAAAATTCGATTCAAAATCTACTAACATTAATTTTGAACCATTGTACAAGGAAGAAGAGGACCGCTCCCATGGAAGGTTAACATTTCAATTCTTCTTTTGAGATTTTTCTTCTTTTTTTCGATTCTAAAATTTAAGAACTTCAACCGACCTCAACAAAAGTCTTTTATTTTGTTTGCCGTTTAGACCTTGGAATTTTTCTATATTTCCGGTTATATTACTGTCAATTAACTTATAGATATCAGGAATACGTGAAATTCAAAAGAACGTTTCTGAAGAAGTTCTAGACGATGGGCTCCTCATTTGATGAGCATCATCTGAATGACAGAGGTTTAAAGTCGAAGATACCATTGGCGAAATCATGAAATGAGAACAATAAGAGATAGGCGTAGTTCAAATGAATAAATAAATTGATTAAATCAGTCCAAAACTAAAACTTACAAATAGTGATTGTTCTACACTCGTTTCATGCTGTATGTTATCATTTTAATGTTGCTATGAAATGATTTGCATAATGGTACGGCGGAGGTGATGAGGTAGGGGGGGGGGGGGGGGGGGGGGGGGGGGGGCGCACTATATTGTATCACACCCACGGTCACGGGTTCGAATCCTGGATCGATGTACGCCCAGGCCAACCAAGCTTTCCATCCCTCCGTAGTCGATCAATCGATACCACATTCGTCTGGAAAGATAAATGCACTGATGAGTACATTGGCTGGCCTTTGCAAGTTATTGTATAGACCCTATGCTCATTCAATACGCCACTAAGATTCTGAATGAAAGTCAAATGCACGGGCTCTTCCTTCAGACCGATTTATTAATGTCGAAGACTATCCTTTATTCTTAAATTAAGTAATTTTCAGATCCTTCCCAATTCAATTTCTATTTCCTTTCAGCGATTTGTATTGCCATTGTTCCCCACTATTATTCTAATGTATTCTACCTACAATTTTACAATACATAAATTTGAATTATTGGAGGGTACTGAATGGACCTCGACACATTCATTATGAAGGCAGTAAGTTAAGTAGTCCTGGTGCTATACTTCTTTGAAGGCCAGGACTGTTTGCTTCACTTGATTTGGCTACCTAATTCGTATCTCTTTTTTGCAGGGCTTGTCTCTTTGACCAATTTTGACGCACCTTTGAACACATTCTAATGAATTAATAAAAAATTTTAATAGGCTACCGTACTTTTTGATCCATAATAAAACATCAACGGCAATGCTTCTTTGCATCAAAATAAATTTAATCGTTTAACCTATGTGATGTGTCGGATATTGTATTATATGAATAACTTTCAGTTCTACGAGCCTAACTAAACGATTGGTCAATGGTATCGCTTTATTTGTCCAATTCTTGCTTCTGATCTTCATACTCCTTTCCTTAGCTAGAATATCCTTCGTGCTGTACAACAAGGTATCCTTTTTATATGTAAATACAAAGCTATAGTATAAAAAGGTATAAAAACTGTAGAGTAAACATTATTTACAATCTTTCGGCCTTACTCATTCATCTATATTTATTTTTTAAACATATTTGTTAAGTTAATTATTTGAGATAATTAGAATTATTAATGTGTCTATTCCTTAGTTTCTTGTACATATTACTGATTTCTTCTGAGAGTAGATTTGCTTGAGATATTTCATATTTGCATTTGCAAAAGTCTCCGAAGAATAGACGTGAGTTTCGAAAATCAATATTTTTTTATAAATACAAAATCATTTTTAGGAACTATAACCAATAATTTGGTGAACAGTAAAATATCAATGGCTAGCGATATGATTTTTTAAAATTAAGCTACAGAAGAAGCTGTAGAGAGCAGTTTACGTGATAAAATTCCTAAAATGAATATCCTGGAAAGAATGATTCAGGGAGGACAGAACTGAGAAAACTGAAGGAAATCATGAGTCCACACTGAATAAGCTTTGATGAACACCTCTAACAATAGGAAAAATCACAGTGAATTTTCTTTCGTGAAAAAGGATAGAGAAAGAGAGATAAGGATAAAGAAAGAATGAAAAAAATCGGTAGATAAGGAAAATAAAACGTAAACATGGATATTCCAGCTGCACAGACTTAAAGATATTGATGCTTACTGGGGTAGAACTTTCACATTTCAGAACAAATGGTCACAGGATCAATTCTACTTGGACGATATAGATGACGAAGATCGATACATGCTGATGTTTCAAGACTTCATCGACAGGTACATAAATTTGATTGCTAAAATTGCTAAAATGCAGAAAATTCAGAGGAGATTAAAATAAATAATAAACCGTTTAACATAATAAATACAGTCAGAATAAATGTAAACGCTCTTATACTATCATCAAAATAAATAAACGGATGATTGGGACATCCCCTAAATGTGTCACAATTACAGAAAGCTAATTATCTGAGGAATTGTGTAATTCAAAGACGCATGAAGACGCTTATTTGCTTTGGCATTCTTCAAATTCACCGTATATTTTGTAGCTTCAACAAATCGTATGAATCCGATGAAGAAAGAGCATTCCGCTTTTCGGTTTTTGTCGAAAACGTTCAAGACTTCGAAGAAGAGGAACGGAAGCACCCAGGGCTTGACCTCGATGTCACACAGTTTGCAGACTGGACAGAGGAGGAGATGATTCAGGTACGTCGGACTCCGGTATGAACAAAAACAACGGGGCAATTCATTGAATTCAGTACCTCTCTGGAAATCTTCAAGAGCTACGAATCGAAGGACCGCGGTTCGAAGGCTCTGCATTGCGTGACGGCGTTAAAAGACCGGTGGAAATGGACTGGGCCAAATCCGGAAAACTAACACCTGTCAAGGATCAAGGTGTGTGACCTAAATCTGGGCAAAACAATGAAGACACCAGAGTGATACTTTGCAATGTGCCATGCCTTCGACTTTCACGACAAATAGTTAGCCGTAATATCCAGAATGTGGTCGTGGTTAGGGTAGGGTCTTGGTTCAGACCAGAGTAGTCCTCTGCCTCATACAGACCAAAAANTTTCCCTCAACAGGGTAGATTTTCGAAGGAGCTAGAGACTAGCTTCACACTCGGACCACTATTCGTAAAATGGATTCAGACACAAAAAGACCTTCAAATACGAGTAAATTCCGAGCCAAGTCGAATACACGGCGCGATCGAGATGCATTACCGTTTCTTAGCTCATTTTCTTTTTAAGGGCAGTGTGGTTCGTGTTGGGCATTCGCCACAGTGGCCTCTATTGAAGCAGCGAATGCTATAAAAACGGGCCAGTTGACAAGACTTAGTGAACAGGAGATGGTCGACTGTGACACACAGAACAATGGCTGTCAAGGTGGATATCGACCATATGCAATGAGGTGGGTTCTTTCTGAAATTACAAAAATCACTGCAAGGAGTGAACATGTAGAGATGAATGAGAAGCCAGGGAAATCCTTCTGAACCGAAGGATGGAGCACCAGATTCCAGAGGCAACCACAGACGTGAAAAATTCTCTCAATTTTTTATCGTTTCGTTCATTCCCCTGAATACGACCTCATGGAGACGACCTCCTGTATTTTTACTCGAACTGAACTCTAATTCATCCGTGGAGAGCACCGATTTTGTTAGAATTCAATTTTAGGAATAATATTCCTAAGCTTCACGAAATTTTTGGGTTAAACTATTAATTGTTTTCAACGATCTTAAATTTTGACGTGATGGTTTTCTTCAGAGGTCAGGGTTCCACCTTTGAAGCGAACCAAATTCAATGTTACCCACACCCGACACTCAGTAGGATTCTGTGCGCTCCAAATAGGAGACCATGGCCTTCGAAGAAGACTACCACGTCAGCTAAAAAATCAAATCTTTGAAATCAATAAATAGTTGCGCCTCGAGAACTGCCAAGGTTACACGAAAATTGTTTGTAAAGTTTATATTTTCGATTAAAAATTGGAGGATGTAGTGATAGATTCTGGCCGTTGACCAAGCAGTTCTATCATGAACGAAGATTTAGGCGGATGGGCAGCCCATCTTTTGCATTAGGTAGGGTGTCACGATACAGCCTTAGCGTGTATAGCGCTGAAGTCTCACCTAAGAGGATAGGACGCTACCAACGACAAAAAAAGGAAATGTGAGAAGTGACTGAATGAGAAGAAGTACCGAATAGTGTTTCTTTTTTGCAGCTTTGTCCAGCAAAATGGCTTAATGAAGGAGGAGATGTACCCTTATTCTGGAACCGATCAGAACACTTGCCTTCTCAAACGGGACTCGGTAAGCCTTCACTTCCGCTTAATATACTTAACCTTGAAATAGATCTACTGCAGAACGTCGGGATCTATAGAAGCCTAAGGCACTTCTTAACCCTCCAGTGTCTCTCAACAGAATACTTTTCCCCTATTATACTTGTCTGAATAAAAATTTAGGAACGAGTTTTCATTCAAAGCTATCGTATGCTCTCATCCAATGAAGAAGTGATTGCTGATTGGATTGCAGCTAATGGTCCCGTTACATTCGGTATGTTCCATGATGGCTCCAATACTAGTTCCCAACTTGAATCTTCAGAAACAATTTGGAAATGCGAAATCTTTCTTGATTTTCCCAGAGAGTAGAAAGGGAGGCACGGTTTGACGAAGAGTAGAGAAACGAGCTCGCAAGAGCCACCTTTCCTTGACCCACAGGATAGGCCAAATGTGCATTAGATGCGTCATCAAATTGTCGAGTAGGAAAATTTCTACAAATTACTCAAAAAATTCATCAGAAGATACCTTTCTTAATTTCAATTATGTATCCATAACTGAACTGAGTACTCGAAACTTTCCATTAGAAGAGAGATATGACAGTTTAGGCGAACTACCACCTTACGTTTGGTCAAGGGGTCAAATCCCGAATCGAATCTCGCTTATCGAGCCCTCCACCTCTTGAAAGTCAAAGAAAACACTGGACTTTGGAGAGGTTGATGCAGCTTTCAGGCCCGTTTTCAGCTATGAAACCTAGTCGTGAATTTGGATGCCACTGAGAGAGAGATTCGAGTTAGAGGTTAACTGTGTGGCGTATCTAAGATCGAGAAAGATCTAAGCCCACTCATAAAGCACACATTCGTTATAGGTATGAACGTAACAAAGTCTATGTACAGCTACCGAAGTGGGATCTTTGCACCTTCACAAGAGGACTGTGAGGTGAGAATCTGATTAAATGAACTTCTCGGAAGTTTCGTCCGTTTTTTCAGCAACATTCCCTGGGTTCACATGCGCTCACATTCGTTGGCTATGGCACCGAAAATGGCCAGCCTTACTGGCTCGTGAAGAATTCATGGGGTTCAAGATGGGGCCAGAGTGGATATTTCAAATTGGTTCGTGGTCAAAACGCATGTGGTGCCGCAAATGCGGTAGTCAGTCCGATTATGGGTAAATAAGTCGACTGGCTTTACAGTAGCTGTACGAGTTGTAATAATTGATTCCACTGAGTTGTTTACTATGTAATAACAAAAAAATCAATAAACAGAATTTGTTGTAGCTTTTGTACTACAGGCAATGTCGCTTACCATTTAAAATTGCCACCTTTCTGACTATAAAGTCTACTCGCTATAACTCATATGCGAAATGATGAAGAATGTGCAGAGGGTGAGCCCGTACATGTGAGGTCTTCAAGCTCGAAAAACGGTCTTCATACCGCCCAAGCTCATCAATTCCTTTCCTTCCCATCTAAAGTGTTACTTTATGAAGCCTAACTTATCCGCAATGTTAACGCGTCTACTTACAGATGTGCTTTTTTTTTAAAGATGATCCTAATCCCTGAAAGTTCCAGAACCAATGTTCAGTAGGTCATGCATCCTAAGAGCAAGCTAGCGCTTAACTTCATTATTTTGAGAAAAAAGAAAATGACACTTTCAGTTACTGTTTTTAGCATTCTGTTAGCCCCGTGTCACCTATAAACTATACAGAATCTCCTAGCCAGTCATTAGGATGGCGATAGATGGATGAGATAGATTTCGGAAAAAGATGAAAAAGAAACATCTGAAGGCATTGTAGGACGAGAAAACAACTGCTTGCTCAGCTTGTTGACCACCACAGAGACAAGACAAAGCTTCATACCTCTAAGGTCTGAGTCTTCTGCAAGTTGTATAGCAAGATAGCAATGTAAAGGCAACACGACTAGTTCATGGCGCGCTCTAACGGAAGTTGGACTGATTCAACGTTCACTGGAAAAGTGTTCTCAGTTCTTCCAATGTTCTAGCCCAGATAAGTAAGGACTGTCGCTCCGCCCCCGCGTACGGGACTCCTAGACTTCATGGTAATTTTACTAGATGTTGCCCCTATAAAACAACTCAAGGTACAACTCTTCTGGAAAGTGCCTTTCCGAAAAGCCATGGGAACAACTTTTCAAATTTTTATTTCTCAAAAAGACTCCATTCAATTCATTACACACAACAAAGTGTTTATAGCTGAAATTCATCTTTTTCTTTTAATAGTTCGTAGAAAAAAAGAAGAACATCTATATCAACATGACGATCAAAACAGATCCGAGATACTAAGGTATGTAATAGCTTTAGGGGAATTCAAGTTAAAGCCTATTTAAAGTATAAACGACATCCTCCGGGATGATCTGGTCACCAAAGCGACCGACTAGCCAACATGACGATGGCTTGGTGGACAGCTTCAACGGCCAGAACAGATGGGCAGATGGACGACGTATGGACACAATCACAAACGAAATGAACCGGATACCGTGGCTCCTTATAAAATCTTCTATCAAATTACTTCAAATATATCAATCGATAACGACACTTATCACTATGATCAAGAAGTAAAACATCATATCAGTATATTAACATATACATAACGACTATTAATTATTGAATCACATCCATAATATACGGTGTATGATTCGTATATTCACCAAGGCATACTAGTTATTATTGCTAATGGACAATTTGAGTAAACGGCTGGAAGAAAGTCGTGAAGTGCACGCAAAATTATTGACGAGGCGGACATAAAAACACAAAGCACACATTGTGGTTGCAGTACATTGACTGCATGAACAAAAAAACGCACATACTCCTTCTCCTACCATGGACGGCGAATTGCGGCATACGCGTTGCGGCCACATCGCGCCACTACTTAATGACACGCCGCGACGCGACCGCGCTCGCCGCCATCCATGCAAAGAAGGGATAAGTGCGTGGACTCTAGGCGCAATTTAAGAGATCTGATCACAGATTTTTACGGACTCCACGAAGTACAGTAATAGTAATGAATGAAAATAAAATTGCATGAACACGAACAACGTGATGGTGGCAAAGGGTATCGATCTGGCAACAATCAAGAGATGTTTATATATGAATATAGTCAAATGGTGGAAACCGAGAAAAATTAATAGGCAATTAATCATGAACGCATATGGTTCAGTACGGTATTTCCTCTAGAGGCCGAATTTATTATAAATAGTTTTAATTGGAAAATAAGTAGGAAGAATAGAAATGGACGAGTTTCACAGAAGACATAGGAATGCCAAGTCATTGAGCAGATGTACTGCTGGAATTGGAGGTGCTTTGAACGTTTGCACGATGCTCAGCACTTTCACAATGCGATCGATAATCAGCCTGGGTACCCATTTTAATCATGCATGCGGTACATTCGTAGTGAATTTGTACCAGTGTGAACACCTATAAATAGAATGGTCAAATGTAATAATGTATTACTGCACCTAGTCGTAAGCGTGGTCCACGAAAAGGATTTCTTCTCAAGAAAAGGGAGCCAAGCGGACGAGTTACAGTGTTTTCACGATTTTTTATTTGCGGGACATGTTGCAACGCTCATATCACTTATGTTCGAAAATCTATGACACCACAGCATATGCTTTGGGCTTCTATAGTGGTTAATGCGAAAAACGACCCGAGTGAGTATATCGTACAGAAAGCAAGGGGCGGAGTCCGTGTCGTGGGCGGAGCTAAACAGCCACTTAAAATCGAAAGTGTTATATTCCTGTCAACTGTTAAGTTAACATTCACAACCCAGTATATCCCAAATGGTCAAAGCATTCTAAGCTAAAGGGAGGTCGTTCCCAGAAGAACGAAAAACCATACGAAATGGAATCCTTACTGTACTCTCCCCACCGCTACGCATCTGATACGTGTAATTTTGAGTCATTTCAAACTACTGGGTTGTCCGAAAAGTTTCCGCCGATTTTTGATTCATCTTTGAATGAAAATTCCTAGGAGAAGAAATCCATTGATTGAACAACATATCATCCATTCTGTCAAGTAAGGATTCGCCATCTTCCTGTAGGTTCCAGTTGCCCTCTTCCTTAGAAGGTTCCAGACTTAAAATCGAAAAACCCTCTCAGGTGCTTTCCGCAGTCCTCCAGCGAATTGAACGATTTTCATTTCAAAGAATTTTGCAGAAACCCAAACAAGTGGTATTCTGATGGCGCTATGTCTGGACTATATGGGGGGTGTGGTAAGACATCCCACCCAAGCTTTAGCAACTTTTAACGAGTGGCCAAAGATACGTGTGGTCTGGAGGCACCCTACTGGAAGATTACGCCCTAACAATTGGCCACTTCGGGTCGCTTTTGTTCCATC